ACTTTTGAATTTCAGGGGGTGCTCGAGCACCCCCAAAACCCCTAGTTCTCCACCCCTGACCAAGCCCCTGTTTGTGGTTCATGTGCCGCTATGAAACTGCCAAAGGTCAGGGTCATGCAAGATTATCTTAGCTAGAAACTATTTCACCGATTAGGCTCTAGCTACTCAAAAAGGCACGACCGACCGACATTTTCAACTGGCCGACGCGATGTAGGGAAACGTTAACCATTATAATTCAACCGTTTTTGCTATTCTGAGACTCTAAATTAACCCGCGCCCCGCCGGGGGGGGGGGGCAGAATCTGCCCCCTCCCGTTTTTCGCCAATAACTTCTTAACGCGTACGCCAGCGACGTCCAACTTTCAGTACCTTATCATACATCAATTTGACACGTTCCCTGAAAATTTTAGCGAAATCCGTCGGAAAATGTTGGAGAAAATGACGTTTAAATGACGTCATACCACGCCATTTTCGCCTAAAAAACGGCAAAACTTCAAACGCCACTAACATCTTCATTTTTAAAGGAATCAAGACGTAACAAAAAAAGGTTGTACGTGATTTTATTTTGTCTATTGAATGGCTATCTCGAGTTTTTTTTTAATTTTCGATTTTGGCCCAATTTTATAAAACTGACTTTTTTGTTAAAATAATTATAAATCCACAATTTTAAGTGCATCGAAAAATGTCAGCGAAGTGATCTATGTGCACCTACACACCAATTCTTAGAAGAATCGTTTCAAAAATGTGGGAGTTATTCAAAATGTTATGACGTCACGACACACAATTTTTTTTGAAAAATGATTTTTTTGGACGTTCTAGACCTCGTACGGAAACAAAAATAGCACCATTCGATTCGCTTAAGAAACACGGGAGGGATCTAGCCCCATCCTGACAGCGGGGCACGTATTTAACCTGCACCCAGATGGGGTCTCAGCTAACTTCGCCATGGCACCCCAGGTTATCTCGGAAAGAAAGAAAGCTGGAAAACACGGAAAAGATCAATCTTATAGCTCGGTATAAGATCTTTCAGAATCATTAAGGTAATTTTCGATCACGCAATCGCTGAGGTCACTGAAGGTCACCAAATGTAAATTATCACGAATTTTCCCCGATTTGACAAGTCCTCACAAATCGGCGCACAACGTAACAGCAAATAGAGCTACAGTGCTGCGGAAAAGCGCATTCGATAGTTCTTTCGAAGCTCTTTCTCAGTACTCTTCTGAGAATTGACCTAGGGTCAACGGTTTAGCATCTAGAGGGCAAAAACTTAATTTGACGTTTTTGTGGAAAAGTTTTTCTGTAATAACTCTTAACCCTCGCCCCGTTGGGGGGGACCATTTTGCCCCCCCCCCTGTGGTTTTTCCTGAATAACAAGAAAACGGCGGCGCGCAGCGCCGCCAAATTTTCAGTACCTTCCCGGGCATCAATTTGACACCTTCACACAAAATTTCAAGTCTTAGGTCACCTTAGGTCAGGAGTTATTGAGGTCAAACTGAGGTCATGTTCGAGCAAAAATGAGCAAAAAACATGCAATCTCGAAACGCTCACCGAATCTACAGTTATCAAGCAATTTCAAAGTTCTTTATATGGTCTAGTAGACAAAAAGCGGCGCTACAAAACTGCTATCTCGGATTTTCAAAATTTTTGGTTTTTGACCCAAAAAAAATAAAAAATTGATTTTTTTTTGAAAAACTAAGAAAAAATCCAAAAATTTTCCGAATTTCGAAAAAACCGGAATATATGTGATAGTACCAGCGCTCTTCTATATACATACCAAATTTCAGATCGATATCGCGTTTTTTGGCCAAGTTATAGCGATAAAACTGTTCAAAAATGATGACGTCAAATTTTTGAACTCAATTTTTAGCGATTCTAGACCACGTACGGCAAAACAAAGACCACCATTGAACTCCCCGTGACGAGCTGCATCGATTCGATACCCATTTAATGCAAAAATATCAACTTTGAAATTTGACCTAATTTGACCTGACCTTGACCTGACCTTGACCTGAACTTGACCAAAACGTGACCTAAGCTGGCCCCAAAGGCTGCCTGACCCACATAATCGCATTTGTCATGTAAAATGGACCATAAAACATGTATCACACGACACTTTCATATTGTGACCCCCCCGTGACCTGACCTCTGTGACCTGACCTGGTATCAGTGACCTCAAATAGCAAACTATGTGTTTGAAGAACATTTCCCCATCGATTATTTTCAATGAAATGCATTTTACTCGATTTTACAACGCATTTCTTGAAATGCCTGTAAACGGTGAAAATTGGACCTTTGACCTGACCTGTGACGTCATCGGTTTGACCTAGGTCAATAAAATTGGGTCACAAGGTAGTTCCCCGTTGGGGCTATCCAACGCCGTTTACCGCTTGTCGCTATGTTGCGTGGTTCTCGAGATCTTAGGGGGGGGGGGCAAAATGCCCCCCCCCCCAACCGGGCGCGTTGCTTGGCAGAGCCCAACGGGGCGCGGGTTAACACCAAGCTTGTAGTACGTTGATTTTACTGGCATCGCGTATCTCCGTCCAGACGCGTCGAATGAACTATACCTATAGGTTGACCTGAAAGATCAGCTTCCAAATTTAATCTCAGGTCAAGTTCACGGAAATGGTCATGATACATACTAGTCGATTTATATCGTTGAGTTGAACGCATCTTGTTTTCGTCGCTCCAGGATGTTTCTATGTAACGTTATTGTCACAAACTGTTGGAGACGTTTCATGACCTGAGATGACATCATGGGCATAAAGATGGGTCACGACTCACGACTCACGAGTGTATTTTTTTTTATACAGCGTGTCGTGTTTACATGTACTCCGCTGCTTGACAGTATTTTCGTCCTGAAGAAGAGCATTTTAATTTTCTCCATTGACTTAAAGGTAGTTGAGAAGGTCGCAAAATTGACTTCACCTTAGGTCACCGATATAACTTTCCGAAATATACAAATTACAAATTGTTGATACTGATTTGTCTATAAATAGCCCGGGTTTCAAATTTCTACGATAAAAAATGTAAGAATGACGGAATTACATTTTCTAGAGATATTGTCGCCTAGCTTGATCTCGTGACCTGACCTTACGTAATCTGGGGTCTAAATTCAACATACGATGCAAAATTGATGCATTATACGCTATAGGTAGGTACCAAGTTTCTGGGAGGTGTGGCACCCCCCCCCCCACCTCCACCCCTCCCCCACCCCCAAGCCCTCCAGGGTGAAGGTTAGTGATCAAGCGAATTGATATTTTTAATCTTATAAAAAAGGCCGAACTTGAAATAAAATGATAACGCTTAGCTAGGAACCATCATGAAACAATATGAGCTCTTATTGAGCTAAAAAAGGATTACAGCTTGCGTATGGAAAAGTCTGAGCCGTGATCATTATTAATGCGTAACCTTTGAAATACCTTTGTTACGGAGCGAGCGAAGCGAGCGGAGTTTTACGTAGAATATACGGAAATTTCTGAGCATGAGCGGCCGGCCGTGGTCACGCTTTTGCGACGCTTATATCTCAGCAACCACACCGATTTACATGCGGTAATTTTTGTAGGGTAGCTTCATTCCTTCTACCAAGTATTGGACTATTCCCGATCCATGTGGGTAGCCCCTTATGCACGTGCCACGTGCAAAACGAATAGGTGTCCGTTTTGTAACAATTGCAATATATCGGTAACTACTGGGTCGATTGCGCTGAAAGTTGGCATGTAGGTAGGTAGGCACCCACTAGGCAATGCATATCCATGTGCCACAGTTGGGGTGCAGCTGCACGTGCGCACGTTCAGGGGTCGATTCCGGATCTCGAGAACGGCTGAACCGAGTCCGATTGCGCTGAAATTTGGTATATGGTTAGGGACTAGTTCGTAGGGTGCCGTGCAAAAGTCAGTTGGGACCCATTTTGCACGTGCGCACGTGCAGGGTGCCGCTTACAGATCTCGAGAACGGCTAGGCCGATTGCGCTCAAATTTGGCGCATCGCTAGGGACCGGTTAGTAGGGTGCAGTGCACAGTTAATTGGAGGTACCCCCTCGCAATTTCGGACGTGCAAGGCCCACCCTCTCGCTCGCTCCGTTGTTGGTCGCCCCAAAGGCGTTTTACTGGTTTGTAGCCTATCATCAATACCGTATAGCACGAAATGAAACTATAATCAGTAAACACAATCGCCTACCGTACCTACAAGGCACAAGCAATTACGTTTGGCGTAGAGCGTACGTATTTCTTCCTACATCTTTAGTCATACGCCACAAATTAGTCATGCGGTATAGGCACTGTAACTGCAGCTTGTCGGGCCTTTTTGCGGCAAAGGAGTTTGAAGAGTGCTACATAACCAGTTGCATTGATGCATTATAAGAACTTACTAAATAAGCGCGCTTTTTTGCATATACGCATAAACGTACATACCCTACTTACTCTTACCCTGCCCTACATACCATGATGAAAATTTGTCCCTAAGCATGTTTCATAACGAATTTAACCACAAAAAAACATATTTTCTTTCGGTTAGTTAACTGCACGCACTAAGAAAATCTGGCGAACACGTGAAATGAATAATTCGACGGAGAAACGTGCGTACAGGGTTATACCTAAACTTATGTCAAATAATCAAAAAAGTAGGCCCATAAAAGTTACGCACAGCAGCCACCGGCATATCCCAATGTATAAAAAGAGCATAATCTGCATCAGGCATGGCCACTGCCCCTCCCTCCCCTCCCCACCCGAGCTCTCACGTGGCGCTCGTCTCATAGACAGCACCCGAAGACAATCACAGTTCACAACTATCCGCTAATCAACACAAACGCTTACGCAAAGCAGCATGCACCAAGCTCATTTCTATTGGAACATAACCCTTCAAACCACCGACTCCCGCACCCCATCCCACCTGTGACCCAGCCGAGGTCACGGTCCGACCCGAGACCACGTGACCGGTCAGGGAGCGGGGTGGGGAGGAGACGCCGGTATAACGGCCCACACGGCTGCCCCGGGTCGGACTCACCTGTAAATCACTCATCGCCGGCTGCCATGATCGGTATAGGGTCAATGGTGGCCGAGCGCACGGTTTCTGTACTGCGGAGAGGTCGGTCACAGCCCCGCTCCGTCGAAATGCCGCCTCAGTCTGACGGCAGCCGGCGGACCGCTCGGCTCCCCGCTCCGCCCAGCCGAGTCGGTGACGCATGCGCAGATGGCGCTGCCGGCGCCGGCGGCCGGACGACAGTCGGACTGGGCTCGGCGGGCTGTATGGGCACGGCTCCTCCGGGTGTGGGTCAGGTCGGGCCAGGTCAGGTCAGGTCAGGGGACCTGGGGAATGCTAGAGCGGTATCTGCTTCGGTGTCATACATCGATCGCAGCTGACAGAGTTAGCGCACGGCCGTCCCGGTCGGTGGGACTCGCCTGGCCAGCCTCGGCCCTGAGCTCCCCAGCTCCCGGTCGCATGGTGGTGCGACGGTGGAGCCGGCCTTGCGTCATGCGGCGCATGCGCACTGGACGAGAATGACGCGCCGACCAGCGCCGTGCTGGGCTGGACCGGCTGAGCTGGTCGTCCGACGGGCTGACGCCGCCCGCGCGCTGGTCCCGCGCGGGGAACAACTGACAGCTAGCCTCCGGATAGCGGAATACGGCAAGGCTGTATGTAGGCACTTACTCCAAGGTTTTACGGTCGGAATTTAAGTGTCACGGAATCGTTAAATTTATTCAGGATTCTATTTCATTCGAGGGTTCTCGGCAAGAAAAAGTGCAGTGTCTGTAAGCCCGCTCTCTTACCTACGAAACGTCACAAATTGCAACGTATGCGATATAATTGCTAGTCATCGTCCACGGGTGCAATTTTCTGATACCTACAATGTGTCTTAGCCTGTTATACGATGCAAAGAGTGTTTTCTATGACTTCGTCAAAAAAAAAGAGGCGCACTTTACTTTTATCTCATTGTCTTATGAAATGCCTTATAATGAAAAGGTCGCAAAATTGACCAGACTTGAAATCCCGAGATAGCTTTGTATGTCTCTCGCTAGACCCCAGCCGGGAAGGGATATACTCGTATTGTTGCTTTTATCAAGCAGGCTGGTAAGTGGTAGTTTCAAAGCGTTCAGGACGGTAGCCACTATGGCGAGCATTAGCACTTTCTGCACCACCTTTTTGTAGATATGTGCGGAAACCCATATGGGGAGTGTCCAAACACTCCCCAGCCCGACAAGGAAAGCATTGCACATCGGGGAGACTCTGTGGGAAGGTAGATACACCAAAAATGTAAAGATTGAGGTCATATTTGACAATGACCTTGACCTTGAGCTTAGACTTCGCGCAACCATCGTAGTCTTTACAAAGAATTCGTTAAATTCCGGACAGCTTTGGCTAATTTTATGCGCCATGTTTTCTTTTCGAACAAATAATGAGATCACTATCTAGGTACTACCAATGCCTATAAATGCTGGTTTTGACTTTGGACCTTTTAAATTAAGCTGAGGGCAAACATTTTCGGTTTTAGAATAATCACCAGGGAACCTTTCGGTTGATAACGCCATTGTCTTCGTACCTTTCTTTGTTAGTTATTGGTCTATAGAGTTAGTTAGACAGCGGAGCGAAAAACGCGTTTTCCAGGGCCGGGGCGCTCTCCCCTGGCCCTGGTTATCGGACTTTAGATATATCCAATCCCAGCCGAGCTACGACATATTTAAATGACCTATTTTGATAGCATTTTGTAATGCATCGAAAATAAAACATTTACTCAAATCATGCTTGCCTGGCGTGTCGTTTAAGCTGCGCCGTGCTAGTGGTTGGAATTTTCATCAAGTGCTGGGGGAGTTGTCCCCCCCTCCCCGCCTATCTAGACCCCTGGGGCACATAGCCACAAGCATTAAGCGGCTTGTGAAAGAGTGTCAAAAATAATGGATAAATTACTTCAGTCACATTTTAGCCCCGTTTGGCCCTGGAGCGTCGCGGGAAACCCGAGCGTGTGCGCCGTTACGAGACGCAGCTACTGGTAGGTACCCGAGTTTAACCCGCGCGGGGCTGGGGTCTCCAGCCGAACGCGCGGGGCTGGGGGGGGGGGTAAATTTTACCCCCCCTGTTATCTCCCGAACTAATGGTCCGATTTGGAAAATTCAAACGCCAATCGAAAGCTCTCATCACGAACTACTAAAAACATGTACTTAATTTAAAGTTTGAGGTCAAGGTCAAGGTCAGGTCAAGGGTACAAATTGCAAGTTTCTATAGTATCGGCCTTGCACCGTAGTTGCCGAAGAATGGAGTCATGGACTGAGACTGATCGCCCAAAACGTGTTCTTAGGCTACCAAGACAATATTCGTTGCATACAATATCATTCAGAGGTCAAGGTCAAGGTCAGGTCAGGTCAGGTCAGGTCACCAAAAAACAAAATATAGAAAAGGGCATGTGCGACACATGTTTTATGGGTCGTTTTACTCATAGAATTCAATAGGCACACTCAATAAGTGATATGGACCACCTCTGGATGAATTTCAGGTCGAGGTCAGGTCAAGGTCAGGTCAAGTGAGGTCAAATTTTGAAGTTGGTTGTTAAGGCCTAAAAAGGTGTCTATCTGATGCAGTTTTTCACGGCGAATCGAATGGTGCTATTTTTGTTTCCGTACGAGGTCTAGAACTTCCAAAAAAGTCATTTTTCAAAAAAATTGTGTGTCGTGACGTCATAAAATTTTGAATAACTCCCACATTTTTGAACCAATTCTTCTAAAATTTGGTATATAGGTGCACATAGACCACTTCTCTGACATATATTCCGGTTTTTTCGATAGACTCAAAATTTTGGATTTTATAATGATTTTCCCAAAAAAGTCAGTTTTTTGAAAAAATTTAGGCCAAAATCCAAAATTTTCAAAAAACCGAGATAGCCATTTGATAGACAAAGTAAAATAACGTATAACCTTTTTTTTGTTACGTCTTGATTCCTTTAAAAATGAAGATGTTAGCGGCGTTTGAACTTTTGCCGTTTTTGAGGCGAAAATGACGAACATGACGTCACTAAAACGTCAATTTCTCAAAAATTTTCCGACGGATTTCGCTCAAATTTTCAGGGAACATGTCAAATTGATGTAAGAAAAGGTACTGAAAGTTTGGCGGCGCTGCGCGCCGCCGTTTTTGAGATATCGCAAAAATTCGCGAGGGGGGGTAAAATTTACCCCCCCAGCCCCGCGCGGGTTAAGGTTTCAGGTTAACCGGTGACCTGTGAGGTCAGGTCAAGTGGCCCAAGGCATGGAATCGTTTTTTATTCATAACTTCGCAAAGAACGGTCGCAGCGGCGCGACTTTGGCATCGCCGTGTTCGCCTTGTTCAGGCGCGTCGAATGGTATACTTTTTGTTCGGATGAGGTCAACTTGACGTGTTGACCTCGGGTCAAGGTCAGGTCAGAGCCTTCCAGGTCACCAAGCTGGTTTGATGAAGTCATATCACATATCATTCGATTCGGCAGGTCTTCTTGAGCCCATTGGTGGTTTCTCCGACTCGCTAGCTCAGTTTGATCGGAATCGCGATTCCGGCCAAACATGGTCTCAGAAAAGAGGTCATCAAATTCACCTGACCTTAGGTCACTGACATTAACCCGCGCCGGGCCGGGGAGGTTGTTTGAACACCCCCCCCCCCTGCGGTTTTTTCGCAGCTATCTAAAAAACGGCGGCGCTCCGCGTTTTGGCACACTTTGTGCATCTTTTCCGCACATGTTGTGAAAATTTCAGACCCCTGTTGCCTTAGGTCAGGTCACCAGGTCAGCCAAGTGACCTCACCTCAGAAAAAAATAAGAATGCTCGTCTTAGCTACACCGACTGATCCATTGCCTTGAAACTTTCAGCGATTGATTAGAGCAACAATATCTATAAAATGTTGATCTCGGAATTTTGATATCGGTGACCTAAGGTCAGGTAATTTTTGCGGCCTCTCCATTATAAATCAATGGGAGAAAATTGAAAAGCGTCTGTTTTGCACGAACGCTATTCTAGACACTCTCAAACATCAAGGTGTAGGTAAAATTGACACACTGAACCGGAAAATGGCAACTGTGACCCCTCGTTATGTCCCCGAGGTCATCTCAGGTCACGAACAGAATCTAACAGTTTTTCGCTAATAACTTCTGATAGAGGCGTGCTAGAGCGCTGAAAACGCTTTAGTTGTGTTCGTCTCGACGTTGCGGATCGACTGATATGCAACATGATCTTTTCCGGTCAGGTCATGACCTTGACCTGAGGTCAAATTTTCAAGTTGACCTTTCAAGGTCAAATTATAGTTTATTCGACGCGTCTCGACGAGAGGAACACGATGCAGGCAAAAGTAATGTCATGGCTCTTTTGAGTCAAAGGTTATTGCCGAAAAAAAGCTTTTCGTAAAAACGGTTATTTTTGGAGTTTTTGCCCTCTGGAGGCTAAACCGTTGACCTGAGGTCAAATTTGAGAACATTACTCAGAAAGGCCTGTAAAAGGGCTATCGAATGCGCTTTTCTGCAGCGCTGCAGCTCTACCGGTTCCTGAGATAGCCGTCGGTAGTCTCCAAAATGTTGAAATAGTCAACATTTTAACTTTGGTGACCTCTGGTGACCTGACCTTTGACCTGACCCAAAAAATGACTGAAGTGTTTTCGTCCTTATTTTGGACGTTCTTTCGATTGCCGCTTACCGCGTGTCGTTACGTGGCCCAGTAGCCTAGTTAGAAGGGGGTGTTCAGACACCTCCCCCCGACCCGGCGCGGAATCTCGGAGCACCGGCCCGGCGCGAGTTAAATTTTCGAGATAAACATTTTATACATACTGATAAGTGTTAATCTTACAATTGCTGAAAGTTTAAAAGAGGTCATTTAGCCGGTGTAGCTATGGCGAGCATCGGAATTTTTCTGAGATAAGGTCACTTGACGTGACCTGGTGACCTAATCCTACACGATATGGGTCTAAAACTGCAACAGCATGTGCAGAAAAGAAGCATGAAGATATGAAAAAACTGATGGCGGGATATATGTTGTTCTTATATGAATATGGCAATAAAAATGTCCGGAGCGTCCGAGTATCCGAAAATTGTCCGATTTTCCAAGTCACGAATGCTCTCAATAGTAGGTTCTATGTTTATGTTCCCACATTTTTATACAAAAGAAATCGTTTTGTATCAGCAAGACAAAACTCAGCAAA